GCAGGAATAAAAATGCAACCTAACCCCCCTGGCGGCTAAGATGGTATAGACAGAAGGGCAGTGAGCCAGAGACCAAAGGCACCTTGTCCAGACACCAAGGACAGTGGGGTAGGCATGTGTTTGCTGATGACAGAGATAAGAATGAAATGACTGGTTGCTGAGTTGAGAGCAATACGTTCTTGTTCTCATCCATCTGTTGCTTTGCGCAGCTTGGCGTTTAGAGACTGGTACGCTCGGGGAATGGGCTGCGTCTAACTATAAAGACAAGATTGAATGCTCAAATTCAGCAGACAAGAAAGCTTGGAGGGAGACCAACCGAGGGCTAAGGGAAATGGAGCCAGAAGCAAGAACAGTATCTGGCAAAGCTGTTTTTTTCGCTTAAAGGCAGAAAATAGCTATTGAAGGAGCTGCAGAACCTGAAACAATTTCTCAATGAGCTAAAAATATCCAGACAAGGAGCCCTGGAGATGTTGAAAGCCAGTGAGAGAAACCTAAAAGGACAAGTAGATTGCAATATTAACAAAAAGCTAGGCTACAGATGTCAAGCTTAATGAATGGACTAATTAAACAATATTTTGAAAAATATAAGACATAAACAACAATTTATAAGTCTCTAGACTATCTCAAAGGGATAAGCCAACACTGGAGGCTGTATACCATATAGTTTCTGAAGCATATTCAGGATTTTTTAACACAAATAGATGTTGTAAGTAATGCAAACAACTGTGACATAACATTTATTAGAAAAATGGGTCAACCAAATTGGAAGTATCCTTTTTGAATGGAAAATAGTCTTTAGAAAGGCAGAAAACACTAAGAACAAAAAAGAAGTACAATGAAAAAAGAGTAGAAATTTATCAATTAAAAGATATAAAGTAAATGAGTGAAATAAAGCAAGCCTGGCTTTATAAAAACAAAATCCAACAATCTCCCATCCCTAAGAGATACAAGTAAGCTGAAATATAAATGTGCTGTTGGTCAAGGTTTCAGACTTATTATGTCTTTGCAAACACAGAAAAGGGAAGGTCACTATTACAAAAATGATATTAGACATTAAAAAGAACATAAAACTATGAAAATTTAAGAACAGTACACCTTAATGTATAAACATTATAGAATAATATATCCTGAAGAAACGTTATGAAAACTGTCAAATATAATTATATCTGAAAGTGTCAGAAGTACATCACAGCAGATTGGGTAAGGAATTAAAACCCTCTCAATGAACAAGATCCATTGGTCAACATCACTTCTTGATCCACTATCCTAAATCTCTTAAGGACAAATGGTAAGATATAATTGACTGTATCTTAGCAAAAACAGTTGTTCATTTCTGTTCGCCACTTTCAACTTCCCTGCTGATTTTAACCTTACAAGTAGTTATAATGTCCAATCAACCTCTACACACCTCTCAGTGCATTGTCCTGTAACATTTGCCATATGAGCCACTCAAAAGCTATTTTTTGTTTTTTTGGGTGCATTGGGTCTTCGTTGCTGCGCATGGGCTTTCTCTAGTTGCAGCAAGCAGGGGATACTCTTCGTTACAGTGCGTGGGCTTCTTGCTGCAGAGCACGGGCTCTAGGCGCACGGGCTTCAGCAGTTGTGGCACGAGGGCTCAGTAGTTGTGGCTCGCAGGCTCTAGAGCGCAGCCTCAGTAGTTGTGGCGCACGGGTTTAGTTGCTCTGCAGCATGTGGGATCTTCCCGGATCAGGGCTCAAACCTGTGTGCCCTGCATTGGCAGGCAGATTCTTAACCACTGTGCCACCAGGGAAGTCCCTCAATAGATATTTATTATTGATAAGTGCTCAAGAAAATGCTTGTTGAGTAAACAAATATATACCAATATGAGAACAATACCAATAATATTGACAAAACAGCACCATTTGTTGAAAAGAATTCCAAACATCTAAACAGTAGTTTCTTTTCTCCACACGCCCTGAATAGAACACAACCTTTCTTTCCTTAAAATGCAAAGACAACATATCGTTTAAGATTATTTAAAACAACCTGATAAATACGAAGTAAAGTTAAAAAAATATATTTCTACTGACCTTGTAAGAATGTAAGGTGAAAATGAAGCTGGATTATCCTGCTCTGAAAAGAGGGGCATAGATCCTCCCATTATCCACAGACGGAAGTACAGAACAACAATCACCTTCAGAGAAAAGAAGATTTGGTAAGAAAATCATTGATTGTTGGGAGTAAGCCCCACCTTTCTGGAGGATACTTTCAGATGCTTTACAAATATTTTGATCTACAAACACTTCTTCTAGTGAGCATTTCTGTAAAATCCTAACATTGAAGATGAGTAGGAAAGTAGTTGGGTAGAGGGAAGAGTAAACAACGAAGGTGATGATGGAAAGGCAAGCAAATCTTAATAACAGCCATCAGTTTCAAGCACTTATTAGCTGTTATCCACTAAAGACTTTCCATCCACCTGAGGCCTCCCAATTTGCCCAGAATCCCACAGCTAGTAAATTGCAAGATCCAGGAGTTGGACCCATGTCATTGGTCTCCAATGCCCAGGTTATTAACCATCCCTCTCACAGAGCCCCATGAAAGTTAACTTAAACTATGATAGATGATACTTCTGTGTCCTGAATAAATACATTTGGAAATGCTCCAATTCTCAAATGCTCTGGAGCAGACCACTCATGCAAGGGTTATTTCAACAACCCCAAGAAACATCTTTTGTGTCTACTCAGTGGAATTTTATCACTGAATGGTGCTATCCTGTAGCAAAGGTGCATAAGAAAACCAGAGGCCAGAGACACTTCTGTGGCGATAAGTTCTGTTTATAGAAGAATCCACCCACACAGACCTTCTAGATGTCATTCTCATTTCAATAGGACCAATTATGTTGTTTCTGATAAAGTCGGAGGGAAATCTTTGCTTCAATAAAAGGTTAAGATTAATTTTGGGAGGTAGTTAAGCCTGGACTTTTTCCCATGAATATCACTGGCTTACTTCATGAATGCTTTTTATATAAGTGCAGCACTAGATAACTGATACAGCCAGGTTTGTGTTGCAGAGACAACACAGCATCAGCACCTTGAAAACGGCACAAAAAATATTATAGTTAATACTGCTGGTGTCATTGAGTTCACATATCCCTAGAATGCTTCCATACATACATTCTAAGGCTTTGTAACATTTATAGCGTGTTAATTCTTTGATCTTAAGATCATATTGTTAGACGCTACTGCTGACTCAAACAATCTGGATCATGTCTCTGAGTCAAATTAAAGTGAAATATTTCTTATCAGATATTTCAAAAGCATATTTATACTTACATAACTTATGACCAAAATGGCCCTTTTTAAGAATGGCCTCATGGTAAGCAAGAAATTTCTATTGCGGCTTGCTGTCAGATACCTGAAACAGGAAAGAAAAAACATCTTAAATAAGTGTCAGAGTCTACCACAAATAATGTTTTCCTTTCAGTGTGAATAGACTAGCTCAAAAGAAGTCTGGAAAGGATCATAGCTAAGAGCATGGCTTCTGGAACCAGACCACGTGGGTTTCAATCCCCCAGCTCTGCTGCCTCCTGTCTGGATAATCTAGGGCAAGTTTTCTAACATCTCTGCACATCTTTCTCATTTATAAAAGAGTGGAAAATAATAGTATCTACTTCACAGGAAAGTTGTGAAGAACAAGTGTGATAATATATGGAACACAACCTAACTGTAAACTAGCTAGCTATAAATATTACTATCCCATCTAATCCCAAATAACCCAGGTATTCTGGCAACTATATGATTACACTAGTCACAGGGATGATCTTAAACAAAATAAGATTGAATTTGCCTACTGAATGTAATTTGAGAGGGACAATGTCTTCCACCCACAAACTAGCTCACAAATGTCTTACCCCTAAAAAAAAGGATGCTAAGGTTTTATGAGGTTAAGTAATTTATCCAGGGTAACAAAGTTATTAAGCATTGGTGGTCAAACAGAGCTCACCCATATGCAGTGGATAATTTCCTCATCTGCCTATGACCTTTGGAACCAAACTAGGTTACAATAATGTCACTTCTAGAGGGGCAGCAACTTGTGTGGACCCTGCATCTCCCACAGTTCACCCACTTGTACTCATCCACATAGAAGACATGTGATTGGCTGTTTTAATGAAGACGATGAAAGGGAAGCAAGAGGAGATTGTCAACAAACTTCAGGGAACCCTAAAGTCCTTTTCACCTACAGGCAAATTTCTGTACAAAGTGTAGGGA